ACTGGCTGAGCGAGGTGCGGGTGCGACACCGAGGGTTGCGATCCCGTTGCCGGTCCCGGTCCGGTACGGGCGCAACACTGAGGGTTGCGATTCGTTGCCGGTCACGAAAAAAGAGACAAAAAGGAAAAAAAAAAAAAAGAAAAAACTGCTAAGGTACTAGCCCCTAATGTCTATTTAATGTATACGTTATGCAAATACTATTCTAAAAGATTTTGACATTATAAAACACATAGATTTTAGGATTTAAAAAGAGTAAGTGAAACAAAATGTAAACAGGAATTCTTTCTTTCCTCTTCCAATTACTGACTTTATGAACCTCCTGGAGTTTACACACGTACCCTGCTTTGGAGGCTGCTGGCTGGGGCATGTGGTATGAAGTAAACGGAGCCCTGCTCCCAGCAGCTCCCACTTCATTTGTGCCGACAGACAAGTGGAAGGCAGGGTGGTATTCCCAGGCGGGTGAGCAGGGCGAGCTGAGGCTTATGTGTTCTTGGTTTCATAAAGAACCAAAACAGAACACAAAAGCAAAGAAACTGGTCTCATTCTTCTGGGTGAAGGCCGAGCAGTGGCTCACGGAAGGAAGAGGTTGTGATTGTCTCTTGTAGGATAGTCCTGGGGCAAGCAGTCCAGGGTGTGCAGCCGCTCAACTCTCTTGGGTGCTGTGGTCCAGTGCTGGGCTCCTGCAGCTTCCAGGTAGCCACGAGAGTAGGGGAGGGGGCTACCACCTGTCTCCTCTGCTCCCCTTCTGTTGTGAGAATTGGTCTCCCTTAATTGGAGAAGGGAAAAGGATTTGGGTAGAAAGCCAGCAGCTTCCACCACAGCACCTTACGTTACCAGTTTTGTTGATTTTCAGTCTCTCATCAGAGAGATTTTCTGACACATTTACCTGGGCTAGCTGATAGTTTGCAGGTTGCTATGAGTATAAATTGGTCTGGTGTGGCTTTCTTTGCTGAGGCGCCTGGTGAGCCAGATCTGATGGCAGTGTTGTAGTGTGTGGTCACGCACCTCAGATACCACTGTCCCTCCCAATGTGCAGTGTGTGGTAGTCACCCTCACAGATGAGATGATTTTCTTCTGCTATGTTCCAGGTCTCGGTATCCCTGAGCAGCAGCTCCATCCGCGTGGCTATGTTGGAAGAAAACAGGGAGTGTGTCCTCATGGAAGGGAAGCTCACCCACAAAATCAACACCGAGAGTTCTCTCTGGAGCCTTGAGCCAGGGAAGTGCGTTTTGGTAAGTGTGAGTGCCTGTGTGCAGAACTCCTAGGTAGATTTTGAACCTGCTGTGATGCCCCTGTTGACACGGGTCTCTTTACACTCAAGCAGTGAGGCCGTTCTTTCTGGCAGGTGGAGCAGACAGGTTTTTCCTGAGCATTTTGCACACTGCTATGAGTGTGCCTGTATAGGCCTTCCCATCTGCAGCCTTGGCTCCTCGGGTCCTGGTCATTTCCAAGAGCTCTACTCTGTACCTCTAAGGCAAGAACAAGAAAATTGAAAATGAAAAGGCAGGTTGAGTTTTCACAGATGCCTGTCTGGAGAGTGTAGAGCTAATAAATTCAGATCAACAGGCTCCTTTGACCAAGAGGCTCTTCTCAGCCAGCAGCTGGCCAGACATAGCTGAGAGCTTGTGATGTGAAGTCACAGTGTGGGTCCAGATGAGTAGCTCACATGTTTCCAGTTCACAGACTCCCTCACAAATTGGGCTGTGCACGTGGGCCAGATCTGTCAGCGGCTCAGTCCCCTCTTGCCCGTGAGAGCTTGAATCCTGTTAGTGGTGACTGTGCTGGTGCCTGAGTGGAGGCTTCGCACAGAAAGGCTGAGGTGTGGCATATTTTGGACTAACTTGTTTCCTCTTTCCTCTTACTGGGATGTTTAACCAGGGCATGGTAAAAGGGATAAAGGTGAAAAGAAAAACATTAAGTCTTTGGACAAAAAAATTCTTAGAATTCTATATAGACATATTCTTCATGTGTGCAGAGTATGCAATAAAGAAAGAAATGAGTATTGGTTTCAGTTCCTACAAGACATGATGGTGGAGGTGGGTTTTACTCTGGACCAGCCTGGACCCCATCTTGATATCAACCTGGAGGGTGGCGCTCCCCTGGGCCACACAGAGGCATCTCTCTGGACCTCTGCATGGGCAGCATGCTCTTTAGTGCTGCCATGGCCCCAATACTCTGGCTCTCCTAGTAAGTATTTCATCCTAAACAGGGTCTCCTGAGGCCCTGCGTGTGGCGTGTGGCATTTCCAGCAATGGGGCTGGGGCTGGGTTGTCCCCACATCTGACTTGCCTGGCCACCCAAGGCCCACCTCTGCTGATGGCCAGCAGTGGTGACAAGGACACCTGTGGCAGAGCTGCCACCCATGGGGACTGGCTCAGAGCCCATGTGGGCCCAGTGTGTCCTGTTATTGTTCACTCTGTTGCATTTCCCCCGCTGGGGTGGCATTCAGCAGCTAGAAACAATAAAAGTTCCCTTTTCCTGCCCATGGGTGTTGTGCTTGTCCCTCGTCCCCTCACCCCAGACATGTAAAACTTGTGCATTAAGGGCATAGCCCGAAGCCTTTCTCTGCATTCCAGCCTCCTGTGAGCACCAGCAGTTTCTACTTGGTGTCATACTCGACCTTCGCAGGTGCCCTCACCACCGCTGCCTTGCTTGAGCTTCCCACGTGGTAGGAGTGAGAGAGAGTGACTGCCGCTGGTAGCACCGGGCTGACAGGCTGGCTTTCTGCAGAGCAGCCCATGGCCGTTGTGTCTGCCTGGGTTGCACAACTGTGATCCTGTGGCCACTGTCTCCCTGGACTGAGAGATAAGTGACACCCTGCAGCAAAACACTGGCCTCTGCTCTCTTCTCTTTGTTTGGTTAAACTCTGAGTGCAGAGCGTAGAACAGGTCGCGGTGCTCTCGCAGGTTCCCTCTGAGTGGGCACCTCTTGGCGAGCCTGCCCCACATGGTCTGGTCATATGTTATAGATGCTTAACCAGGAGCAGTAGTGTCCCCACCTGAGACGGAAATGGCCGGCCTTAGTTACTGGTCTCTGAGCGCATAGCTATCGTATTTGGAATCCACTGGGATTATAATCTTTATAATCAATGATTCCTTTTACTTTACATTGTTTCTATAAAAATATTATCATTATTATGGCTCACCTCTTAAGGGCTTTTTGTTGGTAGAGATGACTGACTTTTTCATGGACATTCCAAAGCCATTTTTCTTTTTGTGTGTGTTTTGTACACTGGTATGTGGCTAGTGGCCACCGTTGAACACATACTTTGGGCCTGGTGCTCTGTGAGGTACTTTACAATGCCGTTTAATTCTCTGCAAACTCATTTTATAAATAGGGACATTGAGGCTCTGTGGGGTAACCACGTTGCTAGAGGGTGGAACTGGACCACAAACCCACACCTGCCTGGTCCTAGTTGGTCTTTCCAGTGCCCTGTGGGGACTGGGAAATGTTGTCCCTTCCAGCTGGAGAGCTGGTCACAGTGAGGGTTTCAGAGGCTTCTCTGTGTCAGGTGGACATGTCAGATGCAGCCACCAGGCAGGTGGGGGGTGTGCACTCTTCCTCCTCATTGACCTTGCTGGAGATGGCCAGGCTCGGGTCTGTGCCCAGTGAGGACACAGACACCCTGTTCTCACACCCAGGACCCTCTGGGCCTCAGTGCAGCCTCCTGGGCTCGTCTTCACCTTGTATGTTCTGCTCTAGTCCAGGCTTCACTTGGGAGCTGGCTGCCTCTAGTTTTTTTATTTTGCTTTTGTCAAGCATCTGCTCCTCGAAGAGTTTATAGGGAAAAGCAGAACCAGCTGCAGACCAAGGGGCGCTTGTCATCACAACTTCTGTATTGTTCTCTCTCTGCTGACTCTGGCAGAGTCAGAGTAGAAAATCCCTCTGTGGTTGACTTAACTGCACGGGCTCTTTACCGTGTTCCCTTAAAGTTGCTTTTATTAGCAGTAGATGGCATCACATTTCTAACACAGCTTCACTTGTGGAAAATAGTGTCTGAATACAGAGGAGGCCTGTTGATTCTCATCACCCTCTTCCACATCTTTCTTGTCAGCACAGGCCCCCCAGCCTCACACCTGTGGTGCGCTTCATTACAAGATGTGGGGGCTCTGCCTAAACACCCCACCCAACAACATAGCCTCTAGTACAATAAATGCGGTGTGTTATAGAAACATTGCTATTTAGGGGAGCCAAGGGGTTTGTTGTGTTCTTGATTTAATTATTTATTGGTGACACTTTGGGGCCAAATTTCTTCTTCTGATCACATATCTGAGATAATATCTTAAGTCAGTGAACAGGTGAGCTATTTAGGGGAGCCAAGGGGTTTGTTGTGTTCTTGATTTAATTATTTATTGGTGACACTTGGGGGCCAAATTTCTTCTTCTGATCACATATCTGAGATAATATCTTAAGTCAGTGAACAGGTGGAGGTCCTGTTTGCCTTCCACTTGCTGCACTGCCTCTTCCGTGTGGAACCTGGCATGCTGCTTCCCTTGAGCATAGGGGGCTGCTCACACATTGCGGGGCCCGGCTTTGAGTCATCACTTGAGTCTCACTGGACTTCCATTTCTCATCCTTCAGCCTAGGCTGAACACCCTAGTCTGGTTGATCTTCTGATGTTTGTTGGTTGCTTATCATTAAGTGCCTGACTCTGTGCAGGTGCTGGGGATGGTTAAGAAAACTAAGTCAAGGACCCTGCTCTAAGGGGTCCTAGAAGATGTCCTGTGAACATGGCCTTATTTGGAAAAAGGGTCTTTGCAGATATGATTAAGTTAAGAATCTCAAGATGAGGTCATCCTGGATTATCCAGGTAGGCCCTAAATCCAGTGACAAGTGTCATTAGAAGACACAGACAGACACACAGAGGAGAGAGGGCCATGTGAAGATGGAAGCAGAGACCGGAGGGATGTGGCCACCAGCCAGGGAACTCCCGCAGCCACCAGAGCTGGAAGAGGAAGGAAGGATCCTCCCATAGAGCCTTCAAGGGAGCGTGGTCCTGGTGACATCTTGATTTCAGACTTGTGGCCTCCAGAACCGTGAGAGAATGAGCTTGTGTTATTTTAATCCCCCTGGTCTGTGGTTCCCTGTTACAGTGGCCCAGGGATGCTAGTGTAGGGGCTCCCATTGCAGTGCCACTGTGAGGCCACGTGAGACAAAACAGGTGAAGAAGGTTGGCATCCAGAACTGTGCTGTTGTGGTCTCCGTCACCCCAGCCTCCTTGGTTAGAGCTTCTGACCCTCTGACCTCCCAACAGGCGAGTACAGATGTGCCACCTGCTCCCAGCTGCTCCCCCGGGCCTGCTCCTCCTTCCCTGTGCTGCAGATCCCGCATTAGACAACCAGGGCAGGCAGGGGCGGCAGCTAAAACCGTGTGACAGCTCTCGCCTCCTTCTCTCCCTCCCTTCCTCCCACATTTCAGAATGTTAAATGAGACTTCTTGACTCAGGCAAGCTCCTTTCTTGGTTACAGAGATGTAAAATCAGTCGTGGCAACGGCACCCATTCCTTTTCTGCAATGCCTCGTTCAGGCCCAGAAGCTAGGCAGTTGGCTTGCACGTTGTCCTCGTTCTTCCTTCAGTCAGGGAGCTGCCAGGCCACTCACTGTGTCGCCGTGGGCGCTACAGCCAGCCAGCCATGCTCTGCTGCGGGGTTTGGGCATGTCTGTGTTTGAGATGGTTGTCGCAGCTGTATGTGAGATGAATACTGCTGCACACACATGCCTTTATGTACTGCCATGGTGCACACACAAGTCATGTAAAGTCCATGGAATAGCTCTGGAGTATTCTTGGAGGAATGAGACCTTGAAGCTTAGGCTGTAAAGCTCACTGTAGTAGTGCATTGGTTTATGATTTTTGAACTTTGTGAATGTTTTTGTACAAGATACACATCCTCCCCTCCCCCTATATTTAGATTATTTCCTGAAATTATTTCTCTAAAGTGGAATTTGGGCTTATTGCAGTCCCTGAGCCATTTGCCATGGTTCTCCTGGAGGATGCATTCCTAGGGTGTCACCAGGGATGTGTGCATCTGATCCCCCTGTCTCCACCAGCAGTGGGCTTTTTCACTGGTTTATCTGGATACCTCCAGTTCCTCCTGGTTTTTTTGTGAGGGTAAAGTGGTTTATTGTCTGCCCGTCCTCGTTGGTGAGCCACCTTCCCTATCCTGACGACCTTTCTTGGCCCTATGAGGCTGTCCGTGTGAGTTACTTAACATACTTCCTCATAAATTCAGAGT